TCTTTCCCACAACAAAATCTGTTTTCAACTACACCCCAACCACCATGAGATTTTTCCATACATTCAGTAAATTCTGGAACCAGGAAAACACATTAATCTAAAAAGTTAGAACTGCATGATGCAAAGACACAGTGAGACGCATTACAACCTGCTTGTTGACCCAGACAGCAACACACAGCTGTTCAGGCCAGAACGGCCGTAAGTAATTGTGGCTTCGGCTGTATTAAAACATATTTCATTTGGATGACTGCAGGTTACCAAACAATCCAGATTGTTCCACATCTGCCACATCCTCTGCGTTATTTCTTCAACTGTGTTGGAAATCCATACTTTGTCTCCAAATTTTATCGCTGGTAAATATCCGTTTGCTTCTAAACGATTTGAGATCTGCTTAGTAAAGCCCAATCCACTGCTGATGGCCCCGAGACAGCATTACATAATTCAGTATGACACCTCGCTGATGTCTACTTCAAGACACGTGTGTCAGCCCCTTAATCCATCTAATATGTGCTTTCCAGGGAATGAAAGAATGATTTATGTTGGAAGGGACACCTCTAGAGATCATCTGGTCCAGCCTGAAGCAGGTCTAATTCCAGCAAGTAGCTCAGGAACTTGTCCAGCTGAGTTCTGAGCATCTCCAAGGATGGAGACTACACAGCCTCGGTGGGCAACCTGTGCTGATATTTGGCCACCCTCACATGAAAACATATTTCCTTCTACTTCTTCGGAATCTCCTGTATTTCAGCTTGTATCCACTGCCTTTCATTCTATCACTGCACACCTCCAAGAGGTGTAGGTAGCAATAAAACCTCCCCTGCGCCTTTTCTCTCCAGCTTAAAACCCAGTTCTCCCAGCTTCTCCTTGCACATCGTATGACCCAGTCCTCGAATCATCTCAGTGGCCCTCAGGTGAACTCACTCTTGAAGAGGATACTAAAATTAAAGAAGAAATGAAGTAATATCTGTGTCCAAAAATGGACACAGTACCACAGATGTTGTCTCACTAGCTATTTCACAGTGCACATATTTAATCAATAAATTCCTTGCAAAGCCACTGATACATTGCAATTATGACAGTCAATATTACTACAAAAACTTGTAAACTAACTTAAAAAAGGAGACCAGACTACCACGGCCAACTTATTTTCTACAAAACCATTTTTGCTGACATTAACTAACAGTAAGGTGAACAGAAAATATTAATAGTACAGCTACTACCATCCTACAACGGCACTGCGGACTGCATTTAGAGACAAGATGGACTTTTTTTAAAAGCAGCCCATAATGCAATTCCTTCAGGTTCAAAGTGCATCAAACTTTTCAATTTTTTTGGCTGTGGTGCAGTCTTTTGGAGTGACTGGAATCTCTGCTGCCCTACACGCTTATTTCCAACTGGAAGAAAAACAGAATGCAACCCTAATCCATCCAAGTTCTGGAACGCAAACAATAACAGAAAGTACATACTTAATGAACTATAAATACAGGCCAGAATATGTCACCCTCGTAAAATGACTGTCTATAGAACTAAATGACTCTTTGCAATTGGAGCTTTTAAAAGACATCAGAATCCTTTCAGCTTTTGCAATTTAAAGACTTCTTTCTCTAAAGGCTCTTTTTTTTTGAGCAAAAATTTAATTTTCATATAAACTCTGAACAAACCATTTGCATGCTGCCATCAAAAATTTTAAACTTTGCAACCTTACAGATTCTGGTCTCTCAACCTCTCTGCTAGTCAGGTGAAATGCTGTTTTGCTTACAAATAACACTTGTTTTTTAAATTTTCAGTAAGTAATATCTACCCTGTATAATACAGAATTAACTTTGCAAAGTAAGTAAAGTGGCAGTTGAAAAATGACATGTGTGATTAAGACTATAAAAGGGCAAAAGCCACTTCAGCACTGCACTGGGCAATACATTCTCCCCCAGGGCGTGTGCTTCGTCACATTCTCTTTTGGCATAAACAAACATAATTCGATTAATTCCAACCCTGCTGTGTGAACACGTATCAGTTCGCAATCTGTCATCTTACGGTGGTGCAGAAGGGCAGGTTTCCAAGTGGTAAGTGCAATGTCTCCTCAGCTGCACATGATCTATGTTCTGCAATCTCCTGCTATTCAGCGTCACGTAAGAATTCCAGCTATTCGAGCCAAAACAATCTGCAAATGGCTTCTCTCTGGCAACACTGCTGCTACTACAGTCACTACTTGTGTCTGCACTAAAAGTCCCTTTGAAAGCTGAATGCGCAAAGGGACAGCAAGTCCCTTTGAAAGCTGAATGCGCTTTCTCTGAAGTACTCCCTGTCTCCCGATCTTGATACCACGCCGCAAAATCCATCTGGTTTATTGAGAAATGACAGAAGAAACACATGGAATGGAAGACTAGATCTCTATTTACAACTTGATTACTACAATACCATAGGATTTGTCGGTGACATGCTGTAGCTAGCAGTATCAGTAATGTTAAGCGGCTACACTTTTTAGTTGAGTAAGTCCACTTTTTAGTAGAATATCTTTGCAATCTTCTGAAATGTGAAATAAAAATCATAGCATTCATCATTTCTGTATGTTATAAACTTACTTTGTATATACTGACAAAAGATCCCAGAAAAGCTCCAAGCTGGAAATTTTCCTTGTTGTAGAAGAGGGAAAGTAGCCGGGATGGTTCTGTAAACAGATGCCGGAAGGTGGATGGAATCCGAAGGCAACACTGGATCAGGTAACCGATGCTAAACATCCTAACGAAGCCCTACAGAAAAGAAAGAAAGTTTTTGTGGTAAGAAACCACCAATTCAGAAAAAGGAAAAGCAAAAATGGCTACAGCAGTACTTCTTTTTTACACCGAGCAGTTTAAAACCCACTCTGCAGATACTACATAAAACGCATCCCCATCTGCAAGCTCAAGACCACTTTTTTGCTTCCCTATTCCCGTGTAAAATAGCAAAGGCAATAATCTCACAGATAATCTACTCTCCTTTAATTCCTGTGAATATCTGAAAGGGCTCAAGAGGCAAACTCTTATTTCTTTTCTGCTCCAAAACTCTGTCCTTTGAAATAATCCCGATGACTTCATTTCCAGGTTACTGACCAGCTTTTAACCACAAATGGGTACATAGAGGAAAGCAATGTGGTGGAAAAAAAAGAACACTTCTACACTCAAATGTCTGGAGAAAGCACTAAAGGAGGAAAAAAGTCCGCAAAAAATAATTTCAGAAAGTGTGAGAATTAGAAATCGACCTCGGTGGTTTGGCCCCCGCTCACGTACCTTCCCTCACCCCAACCGGAGGCTGAGCGACGCCCGCAGCAAGAGAAGGGCGAAACCGCGGGGCAGATTACGTGCAGAGCAACTGGGAAAGGATAACGTCGGCTCCAATGAATTTTTCTTACTAATCCACCTTGGATACAGCTCTGCTTTTTTATACCATGCCACAAAACCACACTGACTTTTTCTTTCCAAATCTGCTCCCCAGTTTCTTATAACTTCCTCCAAAGCTTCCTTTCATTATTCTTACCCTATGGCTGAACTTCTCTAATCATTCTGAATAAAATCTATTCCTTTCTTGTTTGGAAGATGCCCTATCTGAAAACTGTCTGTGCACTCACCATTGGCAAACATGGCGGGCACCTAATGCTCGTGATTTCTGTGGTTCCTTTTCTGGAAGATACTCAGGGACACGAAGACAATTCCAGTTACAGGGACAACTGGCAGAGGGTTTGACTGAGCAACTTTTCAAGCTCAGAAACTCAAAACATTTTTGCTTCCTACAGAACCTTATTATGCATCATAAAGCTTGTAAAATTTTATTGTGGTTAAACATCCAGTCATAAACTTCTCCTGCAGCAATTACTCTCCCTGCTACCAAAGAAGTGGTTTATCAGAACCAAGTGGAAAAAGATATGTTGTCCTCTGGTGATCCAGTAGCTATGAATGAAAAATACCCATTTCTTCCTCTGCTACTGTTAAAGTTATGTGAACTTCCTGAACAGCTAAAGACCCAGTGTTTTCCAATCGTGTAATGGAAACGCCTACAGAAAGGTACGCGAGGTAGGCAGAGATGCAAATGCCCTGTGAATTCTGTGTAGCTAAAATGTCATAATTAAGATGAACATGTATTTGCACCTAAAATGAAGAGGTACCCTTGTGTGAAGTACATAGCCCTCGTCTTCCAAAAAAATTAGATGATTACAATAGCAGGTACCATTACATAAGAAGAAAGTATTACATCTTATAATCAATGCACAATATTGTCATTTTTATGTTCCATAAAAAGAGCTCGAATAATAACAGAGGTAGAAAATGGCAGAGTATACGCAAGACATTACAACATAAGTGAGCAAAGAAAACTCTGCTAAGAGCCATTTCTCCATGGTTTTGAGTTGGGACTCAGATCAGCCAGAAGTAGCAGCACAGTGAAACTATGTATCTGCAAAACTCATTGAATAAACCTTTTTTTTTTTTCTTTTTGAGAAAGAGATTTCTTAAAAAGTTAATAATACAGCCAACATTTTGCCTAGAACTCCAGTTCGGAGAAGTACATGTATGCATATAAAGAGTTCAGTAACATACCAAAACTCAACCTGCTGCAACATATTAGGAATTAGTTAAAATAATTATTTAAAAAAAATTAGTTACGATACTTTAAATTTGTATACGGTTGCCCATGATCCTTCAAGAGACAGAGCAGTGATTCATAGAATCATAGAATGGTTTGGGTTGGAAGGGACCTTAAAGATCATCTGGTTCCAACCCCCCTGCCATGAGCAGGGACACCTTCCACCAGACCAGGTTGCTCAGAGCCCCATCCAACCTGGCCTTGAACACTGCCAGGGAGGGGGCAGCCACAGCTTCTCTGGGCAACCTGGGCCAGTGTTTCACCACCCTCATGGGGAAGAATTTCTTCCTAATATCTAAATCTGCCCTCTTTTAGTTTAGAGCCGTTCCCCCTTGTCCTATCACTACATACCCTTCTGAAAATTCCCTCTCCAAATTACAATTATCTGCAGATTACAATTATCAGAAAACAATCTCATATTCTTTTTGGTCATCCTAGTCACTGGGTAAGCTGTGAGGGTCATCTGGGGTTCACCCACTGCATCAGTAGAGAAAACGGACAACTGGACAACTCCTGCTGGCTCATATCTCCTCACTGTAATTAAGTGGAATCACCAACGAGGAAAAACAGTGTTTGAATGCTTCTGGGAGCTCTTTTCAGACATTTACAAACCCAAAGCACTTGTAGTATTTAAAACTGGTAGGGGAGTCTATGAAATCAGGCAGTACGTCGTTACTAAACATTACGTAAAAGCTATCACGGATTATGTCCACTAGCTAATATGGATTTCAACGTGAAGCAGGAGAAAAAGAGCATGCAACGACAATTAAAGCGCAGATATGATAATGAGGAGACAAGATGTTCAAGGGTAAGGGAAAATGTAGCACGGACAGGAAATTTTGGCAATAAGCAGCTCATCAGATCATTATCAGATTTGAAAGCTCCCTTACAGACATGGAATTAGAAAAACATGCTCAAGGCATGTCAGCTGACAGTTATTACCGATCGACTCCAGTAACAGCCCTAGAGAGAACTGAAAATGCATTCACAGAATCACAGAATCACAGAATGTTCAGGGTTGGAAGGCACCTCTGTGGGTCATCTAGTCCAACTGTCCTGTCAAAGTAGGGTCACCTACAGCAGGCTGCACAGGACCTTGTCCAGGCGGGTCTTGAATATCTCCAGAGAAGGAGACTCCACAACCTCCCTGGGCAGCCTGTTCCAGCGCTCCGTCACCCTCAGAGGGAAGAAGTTCTTCCTCATGTTCAGACGGAACTTCCTGTGCCTCAATTTGTGCCCATTGCCCCTCAAAACCTCCAATCAGATTTGGGTCTCTCAATCAGAGTAATTCAACAAGATTAACTCCAATATTTCTCGGCCACCCTTTGTTTAGGAGGCATTTCAAGCTCATTGTATTCCACAACGGTCAGATCACCCCTCTCTTTACCCATGAAGTCTCCCACACACAATCATCCTTCCAGCAGATTATGACAGTTTTCCATGGAGAAGAGGCATCAGTTCCATCCCGAGCACTCTAGCAGAAACCCTTACTTGTTTGTTCTAACTGTGCTTGTAAAATAACCCAGTGTTATGCGGGTACTTACTGCTGAGTATGTAGCGCAGAATGCACGCACATTTTGTGTGAGATTAATAAAATGCATAAGGGTTTTGCGTGAGATTAATAAAAAGCTCAGAAAGCAAGTCTGGACTATCAGTAGTTAAGAGCTAATTACTGTAAGATATGCCTAAGTAACAGAAGACAGCACTTTACGTAAAAGTGCAGCAGACTGAAGCTACAGCAAGGCACCCATGAAGAGAGATGCACACTAGGAGGTACCACCATCAGCAGACGGCTGGAAATGCAGCATATGAACCCCTAAGACCATTTCTGCTTAATTTTAATCTTTGTTTTGAACATAATATTCCCTGCAGTCTTGGACAAGGCCAGACAGTGCTTTCTATGGGGAAAACACAGAGCACTCTGTGAATGAAGGCACAGGGAGCGTTTCCTCCCCAGGGGGATGCCGACCAGACCTGCGCTCTCACGAGAGGGGAGACCAAGGTGGCCAGGAGCCCTGGGCGGTAAACTTACTGGGCAAGGCACTGGACAAGCACAAAGCAAATGGAAAGTCTGTATCCCCAAAGATGTTATGCCTTGAAGAAAAGACCCCATGAATGAAACATTAAGTGGACTGAAATAGTGGTGAGAGGTTGTAAAATTGTAATTTTAATCTGAGTTCTGTTAAATATATGTCATAACTACAACTCAAAAGTGACATAACTATCCTGAGCTATCCGTGAACGCCCTACTGCACATTCTCATCATAATTCAGCGGAACGCTTAAGCACCATCTCAAATCCTATCAGCTCCAGTGCAATTTCTATCCATGTTACACAGGGGTATAATACACTGCAGTGTAAAAAGAGTGTTAATACAACACAAAATGATGTTGTTAATAAACATACATGGGCAAACGTTGTGCTAGATCTCTTCTGATGCTAAATTTAAGTATAGCTCTTCTGAGATAACATTAACTGTATATAAACTTTTAAATAAGTTCTTCTTGAAAGCGATATATATCAAAAGCGCTTGAAGATATTCAAATCCATTTTTGCTGCTCCATCACTAAAAACAGATAAATTACGAAGTGGCTGAGATCTTTTGGAGCCTCACCAATTCCTAAAACAGGCACAGCAGGTGGTACCACCTGTGCCAACCCAACGCCAGCCAAATCTCCCCTGCACAGTACTCCTCCGAAATAAAAAAGAATAAAATGCGCTGATCACATTAATAAAGTAGGATGAATTATGCCACCGGACACAACCAGCTCTTCCTGGGCGCAGCAACTGTGACCAATCTCCCATTACCAAGAGCCCTTAAAATAACCGCGCGGCGGAGCAAGCCCAGCGCGGGCAGCGGCGTGCCAGAGCCGCGCAGCTGTACGTGCGCCGGGCTGCGTCGCCTGCCGAAGCAGCACATTCCAGGTGCTTTATTTAGGGTGGAGTCGCAAGTGGGCTCAGCCGTGAAGAGCAGCACATATTTAAAGAAGTTCCTTGCCTGCTAGTCCATTTTTTTCCCATGCATTTTATGTTATTCATTCACTGCAGCTAATCTGCAAGACGAGAGAACTTTAACCCCACCACCACCCTGCCCTAAATTGAAAAAATCTGTTTTCAGGCCTGTCACATTTTCAACAGAAGAAGAATGAGTAACAGGCTGCTTTCTCACTTCCTAAGTATATGCTTTTCCTGACCAAAGACTTTTACCGTCTTTGCCAGAGTTTGTCAGTCTAACTTTTTCTGCACTTACTTTAACACAATATGAGATGCAATTATCTCCATAGTGTTTACAGCATCTATGCCTTGGGCCATGTTTGCACCTGCAAAAAGCACAATGAAACACATATTAACTCATAGCTTTTTTCAGCATCATCCACACAAGACTTCATGAATTTTTTGTTGCCTAAAAATACATAAAGTGCTATTTTCCCACCACTCATTCTCCCCATTATCCACTGAAGGGCACCGTGAACTTTTACAATGCCATAAAAGGACAATAAAAACTAACAATATTTTAGTTGTACAGCAAGAAGTGTCTGCACACTTCTTTGGATCCAACCTCTTGCCATGCTACACATCAAACACCAAATCAAAGAACAAATTATCTCCTGTGGTCAACAGGGAGAAGGGATGTGACCCTTTCTGGTTTGTCTCCGCTCCGTGGTTCTGGAAGAATTTTTGACCAGGCATCCGTTATCTGTGTCCTTACTGCTTTCACCCCATTGTAAGGTTCATGGGAGGGCAACGCAGAACGTAAACATGCACAGAGATACCCTGCGAGACTTCTCTCAACTGCAAGTCTTTCACTTCTGGGCTACCTCTTCTCCTCTGTTGATTTTCATGTAGTTCTTACTTAGGACTAAGAATCTGGCCATGAGCATTTAAAAGAGACTGGCTTGGGCTGGTGGAACGCGTGGACTGTACAGTTGTTAGCTCTGCATATTAGAATTAAAAGAAGTAATGCCATACCAGGTCTGAACATTATATTTTGCTACAGCCAAGTATTTAAGTTTTAACGCAGAATAAATCACACAATTTATATACTGTGCCAAATATCTTGGAAGTTTTGAATCGTGTACTATAAAGTCTAATGGCCATAAATCATCCGTAAGGTCAGTTTATGTAGCAAAAATTCTAATGAGAATGTGATCAGGTTACAGGCATTTAGACTCAATTATATTGAAAAGAACCATATGGAAGAGAAACCTGTGAGAGCATTAGGACTGAAAATCAAGTGTTTTCTGAATGTCCGAGTTGAGAGTTTCAAAACTTTAATGAAAGAACTCTGTTCTCCACCCACAGTCCCTTGATCCTTGTATTTAGCAAACAGCGAAGAGCTGTGAACTATATCTAGCAAACTGAAGCAGGCGTATTTAAGGTAAAATAGGTGTAAGCAATTCAGCTAAAAGAATCTGCACATGGCTGGACCTATCTTCTCCTTGCAGGTCTTTTATTGTCCAATACACTTGAGCCTGAGGAGCCACTGCTGACTTCCCTTATATTTTTCAGTTAAAACCATAGCAAATCATAGGAAATCGCTGTGTGATGTAGGTCACTTCATTTTTGTTCATTGTCTGAGCAAGTAAGACAAGCCACTACTTTGAGAACATAAAGCACTTGGAATACTGGTTTCTCTCCTGCATGTCAGCAGGTAAAGACCTGGTCATAAGACTGCTCCTAGAGAGGTCAGTGGAAGTGAAGATTCATAGGTGTGGTATGAACAGACCCCACGTCCATTTTTCAGTCCATCTTGCCTGTAAATGAATGACTCCTTGTGGTACCCAACGTGCCTGAAGCGGACAAATCAAGCACCGAAGTAGCACATCATCTGAACATACTAGCCTGAAAAGTTATCTGAAGTCATTTCTTTACGTTCACACTAAAGGACAATAAATTGGATCCTGTAGACCGGGAGGGAACCTGTCTCACCTAGCTTCAGATGTCTAGATCTGACCTGGTGCAAAACAGGTTTAGACTCACTCCTCGCTTTGCCGTTTCCTAATTCCTGACAGAGGAGGCAGGCCAGGTGCTGTCATTCCTGTTCTTGGGCAGTTCTTTATGCAGTACAGGGATGTAGGTCACCAAAAAGATGGTGACCTAAGTAAGGTCTGTTGCTGTGCAGTGTCCCGCCTTAAGATCACCGCTAGCACCAGCAGAACCACGCCAAGAGCTAGTTTTGTTGAAAACTGCAGAAAAGCAACCACCACTCTGCCACGCAGAACTGATGGGACGTACTCACTTGCACGCTGCAAGTCATTGCTACGACACAGAGGTCTTAAATTTCGCCTTCATTAGAGTTCATCATTTGTCACTGCTAACTACCCAGTAAAAATGAAAAGCAAAACACTTAAATGCAAAGCAAAAGTATTATAAAACTTTGTCAAATGCAATGTAACAAACCATTAAAATGAATTAAGTAAAAATGATTCATTTTGTTTGGGTTTTCTTCAACTCACACTTTGTCCATGAGCTTTCTTGTTAGAGCCAGTAAGTTCATTGCCTGTGATGTTTTTTCACAATGCTTTATCTTTCTATCTACTTTTGAAAACGCTGCTTCAGGTGAAAATGAATGAGTGGGGATTTCTTCTTTTTTTGAAAGGAAAAAACAAAACAGAACAAACCCACAATTCTGTAAATAACTCAAAGAAATACATAAAGTCCAGTAGAAGTCTCTAAGTGTTTCAGACAAGCTTGAAGTTACCCACAGGTCTGCAAAAGCAAACGCATCTGATACAGCTGCCAAACTTTGTATCCCTTTGAAGAGATCACCCCACTGGCATGTATTTAAACTTCAGATAATGGTCACAATTGCTGCCAGGAATTTTTTAAAACTAGGAACAAAAACATTACTGGGGGAAAGTCCATCTCTTGTACAAAGCAAGAACATCAAGTAGGAAAATAAAAAAGGCGCATGGAATAACTACCTCCAGCAAAATGGGGTTAAATAAAGGTTGATGATTACTATGATATTTTTACAAAATATCTATTTTGTAAAACCTTCAAAGTGTTTTCGTGCCTGCAAAGAGCATCAACTTTGTTTTGCTTGGCTTCATCTTCAGCCCTCTTTCTTCACCCAGAAGCTGATATTGTCAATATACCGGTTCATCTTAGGTGTGGAATTACTCTATATCAAGGGCAAGGAGGTTGTAATGGCAAGATGTTTCCTAAAACTTTGCACTGTAATCCAGATTATGCTGTACTGTGGCAGTCTTGCTGATGGTGATGAAGGCACAAAAACTGTGTCATTTGGGATGTGACTGACTCGCCCAGTACACTGGTGATTTCAGAAAGCACAGTTTCTGCACATTGCCACAGGAGTGTTTCATGTCCAGATTTCTGGACTATAGACCGAATTATTTAACTATTGGCACCTCATATCAAATTCCACAGCTGTTTCACAGCTGCAAACTCTATAGAATATTTTCCACTACCAACGACAGCAAGTCTGTCTTGTTTGCCCTCAGCTCTTCTCTCCACCTGGGAGCTGACACCGCCCACGCAGGGGGCTGTCCGAGTGGCGGACAGGTAGCGGAGTGTAACAAGGACAGATAAAAATAATGTGTCTTTATACTTCTGGCACAAGGCATGAAGGTGGGAGAATGCTGTGTAACTACACACATGAGTGAGGAACACCAGAGGGTACCATCGCAAAGTAAATTCCAGGAGAGCCCGGACCGCGACAGCAGACACAAGGTTTTGTGGCACGTTTAGGATCTCTTGAAAGAACATGCTACAAGTCCATGCTTTATGTGGGTGTTGGTCACAGAGCTACTGCTGTATTCGTTCAACATTTTGTAAATACAGCAAATAAACTCCAGGTCAAAAACACAGCAGCCATTTGCTTCCAGGAGAATATCGGGGATCACAAATCCCAGCTTTAGAAAGGGAAAAGATTAATGCTCCTTCACAAACGTGCAACCGTACGTCTGCGTGTCCTTTCAGTAATGGTCCTAAATTTGGAAAGATTCCGTTCCCGCCAGCATAGCACGCCTTCTTCACAATATGCTGCATACCCCAAAGCTGGAAAAGTTTTACAACAGCCTGATTTTTCTTAGGAATACCCTTTTCACGCAGCGCAGCCGCCACCATGCATAATTCCTCAAAATCTTCACTTTAAGCTATGTACTCACAGAAACTTCACTTACTTTAGCGCAGAGTATGTAAATCCCTTCAAGCCATCTTTGCACCTGAAACATAAAACCAACAGTTTTTTCTATAATGGGCCACTTGCAGTACCCTATGAAGTGTTACAGATTAAATATTACATAGCAGGGCTGCGGACAAACACCAGCTTCTCATGAACAGAAAACAGCAGGACTGTAACAACTCTGTGGCTATCCCCGGCTTCACAGTTGTCACCACGGCCTTGGGACATCTTGGAAACAAAGGGTGCAGCATACAAATGCCAGTCCTTCTCTCTTTTATCCAAACCAAGAGTGGAGAAATTTTTAACGGATGGTGACAGAACCACAGGAGCGACAATCGAAGATTTTGCATGAAAAAGAATTGTCGCTTTATGGAAAAGAAGTAGTGATGAGTTTTACAAAACCTAAGTGTCACTACAAGCAGAGCAAGGAGGGCTGGACCTCGATGAAGTACCCATTCTCTTGTGAAGAGCTGCAGGGAATAGTCACTCTGACTTTGAGATAAATTGTTCTACTTTGCACAGTCCTGATCTCTGCAGCTCGTTACTTTCAGACGACTCTCAATCTGAAAGTCCCGGTTTTCCCATTGTACAGTGGTTGTTCTGATTTTGAGTTTGATTAGATACATCCTTCCCTGTGTGAACAATGACCACAATAAAGAGTCCATAATTGCCTGGGAAAGATGTAGGTTACTGGCTTTTTTTTCTGTCCAGGATACAAGGAAAGGAGCTGAAGCTTGCAGCAGACATGGATTCTTCCTGGAAGACTTCTCAGTGTCACGTTGGTAGCAAAGCAAAGAGCAGATACTTGGGTTTTTTCCCGTTTTCTTTTTATAGAATTGCATGGGAAATACTTCATGGTAACGCATTCCTGACACAACACATAAAGCATAAACTAGTAACTTGTCAACGCCATCATTCCAAGAACACCTCTACTGTAAGAGAAGACAGGTTGGCAGCTGCAAAAGCTTCATAAGGGGGAGTAGAAGAACACAGTCCTCCTGTGTTCCAATCCTGGGCAGGCACGAGCAGCAGGAAGAACATCACGAGGTGAAACACATTCACAGATAAAAAAAGTTCTGCTTCATCTTGGCAGGCGAGAGCCTGGTGCGGTGACGGTAAGTTGTCACAGCATTAACCACTCCTGGGAAACTCTTCCCAAGGGTATGGCCTTCAGCACATCTGTTTCCAAGGACTTGGTTTCACCATCGTGTGCACAGCGCTGAGTAAGTGTTAGGCTCAGTTACACACAGCACCAGAAAATTCATCCTAAAGAGTTGCTCTTTAATGACTGCACCTAAAACATTGGTCACATATATACGATCTATAGGGGCTGAAGATAAGCACGTACAAATAAAATTGCTCACTGTATCTTTAACCAATAGAGAACTTTTTAAACCAAAGTTAGGTAAACATTTTACTTTTTATGATTCTTTACCTATGCAATTCAGAAGCTGAAAGTTATCGTAGTACTTTTAGAGGAAGATGGACTGAAAGACGGATTGAAAGAATTGGTGAGTGATGGACTGAAACAAATTCAATGAGCTTTGCCCAGAGAACACGGCGAATCACTGGCAGAACTACAAACAGAGCCCAAACGCACAGGGTTTCCATATCCCCGCTCTACCCACAGAACCACGGTCCGGTATTGCCAGTTTGATTTGAAACCTCCAAATTGACTGTAAGTGAGATGCCCTTTGAGTTATGGGCGTTCAACACATTATGTATACAAGCTGTCAGCTCAAGAACAGAGCCTTAGTTTCTACTTTTCTTGTCCAGTAAATTTAAACCCTACACAAACTGAAATGTAAACACAAATATAAGTGTTTCTAAAATAATATTGAAACAGAAAAGCAATTACGGTATGAGCATAATGACGGTTTTGCCTTCATCACATGAGTTGCGAGTGTTCACTTATTCCTTTGCTGCACCACCAGATGTCCCTGCCCAACTACTGCTGGGGCCACCCGACCCGCCGGATGCCAGCCCACACTCCCTGCGCGTTACGCTCTCCACAGAGAAACTGTCACGCCAATCCTTTCTTCACTAATATTGAAAATCAGATGACATCTGAATCACTGAAAGAGAAAACAGCACTCCAACACCCTCCTCATTACGCCAAGAAACACGAAAAAGATATCTAACGCCTAGTCTAACTACACGATTAAAGTCAGTTCTCTGCAATAAGTATTTCGTATATCGAAACTTTAGTAGGAATTCTGATTTTTCTTCTTTCATTAGTTATTGTAGAGCGTTATACAGCTACAACTATGAATACCCCTGCAAAATGCACCAAAATTAAATACATAGTTCAACATGGAAGTGACTCTAAACATAAAATTCCATTTTTTTCCCATTAACTCTCTCATTTTTTTAATTATAACACAGTATAAAAATGCTATTTAAGTTCTTCAATAGAATTTCATTCATGCCGCTTGCTGTCTTAAAATTTCTTGTGTAAAGTCATTATGCACACTAACGGGTATGTGAAAACATTGCATATTAAAGGGTTTCAAAAACAGGAGCCCTAGAGAAACTGTTTTCAATCAAGAGTAATTTGCACTGTAACTTTCCCTCCTCTGACATTACAATTTTGGCCTTACAAATGAAGCAGCAACTGACACCAAAATTGGTGATCAAATATTTGGCTATAAACCATGAATTCGGTATATTAAAGGCTTCAGAATACTGGTCTGGAGATTGGAATTCCCTTATTTATTCACTCATTAGCTACATAACACCAGCAGCAACAAAAAACCCTCCACACGGACTCCAAACATGCTTCTTTTTTGGGAGGGGGACAACAAAAACCCATGCAGGGACAGAGCGGAGACGTCACAAATTCAGCAACCAGCCTCGATGGAGACTGCTGAGGTCCGACGCTAGCTGCCCACGGCACGTCTCACGAACACCTGGCTGCTAATAACTGAACTAAGACTAATGATTTGCTTCATACAGCCACTAATTGGTAATCATAATGCCACCACTAATTGGTAATAATAACTTTTACTCAATGCTTCATTGCTCAAGGGGTGAAAAAACCTGCGCTCTGCTGCTGACCCCGCGAGCCATTCAGGCTGCAAATGAGCGCAGTAAAACGCGTTACGTGTGCCCAGCATCGTGGATATCCCCGAGACGGGAGAAATCCCAGTAGCGTCTTAAAAGCTTGTTGTCAGGGTATTACTCAGCCGGGAAGGTCTGAGATAACGGGCGAGCTGGACGCCGTCAGAGGTACTCGGCGTAGCTCTCCTCTGCTGCCATTCCCACCACCCCAAAGGCCCCAGGGACCAAACCCCAAGCCGCAGGAGGGCGGCACCGTTTTTTGCCCAGCGAGCAATAATTTAAACGGCACAATCTCGTTACGTTTTCCCATCAGAGGGGAATTTGTCCCTGGCAGAAGGCCAGCGGCACCAGCGGCCCTGCCAGCTGGGCACTGTGTACCTGCTCAGGCAGCAAACGCTCCGCTCCAGCCTGGCTTTGGCCAGAGCCGTGGCTGGAGCCGGAGGAGCAGAAGATTCCAGGAGCCACAGCAATAAATTTGGGTTCTCCAAATTCCCCTGCTGGGACAATCTTGGCACATGAGCACATAGGGTCGATTTTAATCGCGCATATTTATAACATAAGTTTAACTTACGGCCACACACATTTATTTTTTCATAAAGAAAACAGCAAAAGTGGAGTAGAGCCAAGGCTCGATACTAACTGTAACTATACTTCCAACAACACACGAACTAACTCTAATTATTTATGTTTGTTTACGTAAAGAGGTGCTGTACATGAGCTTGCACTATTCTCCCTCCCGTCCTGTGGGAAGGAGAAGTTCCCACACTGAACTGCGAGGCTGGATGCCAGCAATTATGTTTTGGGGATTTTTATTAGTACGCCTTGTCATAAGTCTTCTAAGGATCTCCATGACCAATGGATATAGCCCGTGCAAGAAGGCTTCTAAGGAAGCAAGTCACTTATCACCCAGGGAACTGGTAAAGAGAACGCAGCCCACAGCAACAACATCTGCCATGTTTAACATCCCCACAACAGCATCTGCCATGTTTAACATCTCCACAACAACATCTGCCATGTTTAACATCCCCACAACAACATCTGCCATGTTTAACAACATCCCCACGTTGCTTACGTTACCCTTCAGGGAAGGAGTAAATTAGAAACTCCTATGCGCAGAGCTCTCGTTACGGCCACGTGGGAAGGAAACGCTGCAAGCACGGGACGTGTCGGCGTATTCCTGCAGCACATCTGCCCATAAAGACTGGCCGGGGGGGACCACATTTCTGAGTTAAGGTGTCTTGTTTTATGGAGAAGGGAGGATCACAGTGATGAAACGTGACTGTGTCTGGACACACCAGCTACATCCCTTGCTATTAAATCCCTTCCTATTAGGAATTAAAGGCTATCTACACTCCTTTATGAGCTGCGCTGAACTCCAGAGGATAATCCATTTTCCGTCCAAAGCTACTTAGAGAGGTTACTGCTCCTTCCTCTGCCTGTTTTCCTACCCTTCGTTCCTCGCCTTCTCCCCAGTGTTAACGGCCAGCAGCAGCAGGTGTCACCTTTCTGAGACGTCTTCCGATTCTGTTTCTCTTCCTTTTCCATCTCCTCTTTCGCTCTTCCTTCCTGCTAGTCGAACTCCTATTTTGTATTTCCCCCCTCATCTGTCCTCTAAACATTATTCTCCACAGCTCATTTCTTCTTCTTCTTAAAAAAAAATCAATCCATCAGTACCTTCTCCACACCTTCTCCTGGTCTGACACTTTCCACCACGCTGATCGAGTGGGTTGTGACTATGCGGCTGGAAGCGCAGAATAAGCACCACTGAAAAAACAGATTCTAAAGAAATTCAAGACTCGGGGAAGCTCATTTCAAAGTTGTTTTGAGACTAATTTATTTATGTGGTGACTGTGAAATAAAATCACATTTCGCAAATATTGTTTTTCCAAAAGGCTCCGGGAACCAAGCATAATTCCAAACCAGTAAGATCTTCTTCACCGAGGTAACTACGTAGAAAAAAGTTACTTTAAAATGAAATAT